TACACACACATGCATGTATATATTTCAGAAAAATATGTTATGTTTATATATTAAATATATTTATTTATAATATACATTTTATGAATATAGACATAAACATGTAAATACATGTGCAAATTTTCAAAATATATACTGTATGTGTGTGTATTTATATATAAATAATAAATATACACAGAACACACACATATATTATGTAAACAAAAACTTTTATTTTGGATGCGATTTAACGGTTGTGATTGGCAGCACTCAGCGCCTGGTCGGGAAATGTCATGCCCCTTACCATAGCCGTCTGCGAGCTTCAGTGTAAATATTGCGTCAAAATCAAATCAATTTGAGCGCGATTTAAACCCGGATGATTGTAACCAATCTAAGTTCGTCTGCCTTGGGAAAGCTAGCGTGTCTGTCCGACATAGTGATAATAGCACTCGTTGCCTTCTCTAGTGCAGCTCAACCAGGTCTCGTCCCATTCGTTGATATTTGTGATATCACAAATCCCGGAAAATATGCGTTGTATTCCAAACTAGTCGTTCGTTGTTGTTTTTGAAAAATGATTTCTGTTAAATAAAGTATCTCCTTTTGAAGTGGACTTTGAGCTTTGTAACTTTGCAGATCTTTTTTATGCTCAAACAGCAACATTACAGACTAACTAAAGTTGAAAAAGTGAAAAAGCATAATAGCATCCCTTTAAATACACAAAATAATGTTATTTTTAGCATCGTCATATGACTTCTTTAAAATGTATATCTTTGTAAGTAAATATTAATATTCAAAATATTTAGTCTTTTTAAAATATTTTTCTTTTTGGTTAATGTTTTTGTTATTATTATTAGTAGTAGTATATTCAAGAATATTATTATGCAATATTAATATATACTTCTAATCTAATTTCCTCACATTTATGCATGTTAAGGCAGTCCATTTAAACCCTTGAGTGTTAATTTTACATGAAAGAATATATCTGAGTTTCTCCAATATCTATTATGGAGATTATTATATTTTGAGAGTATTATATTTGAAGGTATATAAACTTGACATGTGTTTACTGCAGTAATATTGCGACAAGAAAATCATGATATAAGAATACAATATAGGAATATATTAAAAAAATTGGTATAGGAATCATTTTCACTCAGAAATTGCAAGTAAATTTCACAATTAATTACAAAGAAATGACAAGTAGCACATTGAATTAAACTGAGGTAGTATTTTCTTGTAAAACATACTCCAGTAATCTTTTTCTTTGTGTTTTTAGTATGTAAATCCAGCATTTGAAAAGATGATGGGCTATCATAGAGGCGAACTGATCGGTAAAGAGTTGACCGAACTGCCCAAGAGTGACAAGAACAGCGCCGACGTGCTGGACACCATCAACACCTGCATCAAGAAAGGAAAGGTTAGCCGGCCATAACACTACTAGGTCATATTAGATCATGTTTGACTTTACCTGTGCCACTTTTTACAAGCCTAACAATACTCATACTTGTCATCGATTTGATTATTAACCGATTTTTTTTTTTTTTTTCGATATGTGTGTGCTTGTTTGCTTAGGATTGGCAGGGGATCTATTTCTCACGGAGGAAGTCAGGGGACAGTATTCAGCAATATGTCAGAATCACTCCTGTGATTGGCCAGGGAGGGTGAGTCACATGATTATAAAAATTGAAATGAATTTTTATTTGTAATTTTAGAATATCATATTTTATTATTTAATTTTAAATTAACAGGTAGTCATATTTTATAACTAGTTTAATATAATAAATATATTTAATATATATTATCTGTAATATATAAATAATATAATAAAATATAATAAATTATTTATTCAATACTATAAAAGATATATCATATATTATTTTTATGTTCTAAATAAATTATGGGTGCCAGAAATAAAGGTAATTTCATTTATATTGCTGGTGCCATTGGTGGTTTTATTATATATACAAACCAGCTAGAATAAAACAGTCAAATCAGACAATTGTTTCCTTACCTTTTAGAAAAATCCGCCATTTTGTGTCCATCAAGAGGCCTTACAGTGACAACCACAGACAGGTAAATTTTTTGCTTCTAAGCTTTATGTGAGACTTTACTTTTAATCATTGAGTATCCAGTAAATGTTGACCAAGTGTAATGTTCACCTATTAATAGAGCTCTCAAATTAGCACCAAAACTTAAAGTGTGCAAGGCTCATGGGGACAGCAGTGGGCCGAAATGTTAGCTCCGCTAAAGCAACCATCCTGACAGGCCAGTGTCAGAGAGCCAGGCGGGCGTCAGGGTTATTAATAACCCTCCACAGGCTCAGGTCTAAACCCTGCTGTTAGTTCTAGCATTAGCTGGAGCTGCTGATCAAGAAAGGCCTGTGAGAAACAGACACACTGACGCGTGTGTGAAATAGCTGTTGCTTTACTCACACTCGCTGTCTGTTACAAGCCTTACCAAAATGTGCCATGCTAACTAACCATAGTTTCTGTCAAAATGCAATGGTTGCTACGATTAGTGATACTAGATTACATTAAAATGAAATCTTTATTGCTATCCAGCATCTTTATAGACGTGCAACAGTCATATATGAGAGGTAGTGTTTAAATGTGCAAATGTCTAAGTATTGAAACACGCTTGATCAGTGTTTTGTCTGATTATTCAATAAAAATGTAACATCCTTTCTACAGCATACATTATTTCAGAAGCAAAAATAATTTGGCTTGTTTTCTGAGATTAAAATTTGAACATTTGTTCTTACCTTGAATTTTTTTATTACCTTATTAGCAAATAGTCTTTTCTTATTTTAAGTATAAACTAGTGCTGTCAAACGGTTAATTGCGATTAATCGCATCCAAAATAAACGTTTTTGTTTACATAATATACGTGTATGTGCTGTGTATATTTATTATGTATATATAAATACAAACACATGCATGTTTTATTTGAATTTTTTATTTTATTTTACCTTTATTCAAAGCAAGGAAAAACAGTATATACACCATTCAAAAGAAATTTAAAATAAGAAATATAAAAAATTGTATAATATAAAAATTATAATTATTAAAGTTATTAAAATATAAAAAATAAGAATTTTTGTTCCGCAAGGGTGGTTTAAATTGAAAGGTGGCAATAAAGACATTTATAATGTTACAAAAGATCTCTGTTCAGATAAATGCTGTTTTTTTTCTGTTCATTAAAGAATTAAAAAATATGAATCAAAGTTTCCACAAAAATATTAATCAGCACAACTGTTTTCAAAGTTGACAATGATAATAAATGTTTCAGCAAATCAGCATATTAGAATTATTTCTGAAGGATCATGTGACACTGAAGACTGGAGTAATGACGCTGAAAATTCATCTTTACATCACAGAAATAAATTACATTTTAAAATATATTCAGATAGAGAAGAGTTATTTTAAATTGTGATAATATTTCACAATATTACTGTTTTTACTGCCTTGGTGAATCAATTCATATCAATTCAAATCAATATTTTCTGTTATGTTAGACATACTGATTAAGAACCGAACCAATTTAAATGTACTTTACAAATTCTGCTGAATTAAACAAGATAAAAATAACAGTAATTATCAGTGGGCTTGTAGTAAATCTTCTCCTGTGGAGCAGTGTGTGTGTTTGTCAGATTTCCTGACCTCATCCTTCAGGACAGCGTAACTAAGCTCTTTTATACTTCTACTTACATGTGATCTATTTTTGAGTGTGTGCGTATGTATGAGTGTGAAAATGTATACAAAATAACCATGTTCTCTTTTTCTGTCTGTACCATGTAACTTTTACTTTCCGCTTTAAAGCAAACTTCACACTGCGTAGATTCCTTTTTGGCAGCACTCTTTAATCTCTAACCTAAGACTGAAAATCCTGTTTGATTCATTCAAAACTTGATGTTAAAAGGATTAAATGGATTGCTGCGGGCAGGATTTCCACCCAGGTGAATTCAGCAAATGCTTAAACCGTGTTCTGATCAGGAACAGAGCTGGAAGTGACAAATGTGATAAATCCTTTCTATTCAATGTTAATGTAAGGCTCTATCCTAACCAGCCACTACAAACAACAAGCAACAAGACATTTTGTAAGTTGCTTAGGTTTCAGTCAAATTGTGTGATTAAACAGCAAAAATCGAATTGATTGATTCACCAAGGCTGCATTTATTTGATCAAAAATACAGTAAAAACAGTAATATTGTGAAATATTTTTACAATTTAAAATAACTGATTTCTGTTTGAAAAAAACTTTAAAATGTAATTTATTTCTGTGATGTAAAGCTGAATTTTCAGCATCATTACTCCAGTCTTCATTGTCACATGATCCTTCAGAAATCATTCTAATATGCTGATTTGCTCATTTATTTTGCTTAATATTTTTGTGGAAACCCTTTTTTCCCCAGGAGTCTTTGATGGATGGAATGCTCCAAAGAACAGCATTTGAAATAAAAATCTTTTGTAATATTATAAATGTTGATATATTGAATGTGTCCTGGTTGAAAAGAACAATTCTTTAAAATAAAAAGCTAGCTGACTTTAAACTTTTAAATGGTATTGTGTATATATAATATTTTAAATCAATATTTTATTTATATTTAATTGCATTTAATAATGTAATTAATTGCATTTTATATTAAATTTAATATTTATAATATTTAATGTAATTATATTTTTATTAATATTTCACTTTTTAAATAAAGGAATTTGGCCAGTAGCATATAGTCTTAAGTCTTAATATCGACTTGTATTAGTATAGATACTATATTTAATTACATTTAATAATTTAATTACTGTATTTAATTTAATATTATATTTAGTATTTATAATATTTAATGTATTCATATTTATATTAATATGTAACTTGTTAAGGGAGTTTGTCCAATAGCATTTTTGCTTTTGCGATGGTATTGGATTTAGTATCAAGGGTAACACTTTATTTTAAAGTGTCCTTATTACATGTTACTTGTACTTACCATTATAATAACAATAAAGTATGCAGAATTACATGCAAGTAACCCTAACCATATAGTAAGTACATGTAGTTAATTAATATTACTCAATACTTAAATGTATAATTACACTGTAACAAGGACACCTTAAAATAAAATGTAACCGTATCAAGTATTGACTTTAATTAGTATGCATATTATATTTTATTACATGTAATAATTACTGTATTTTAATTAAATAATACATTTAATATTTATAATATTTAATGTATTGATATTAATATTTCACATTTTAAATTTGTTTGAAATATTTTCACTTTTCACAAGGATTTTGTTCAATAGCATTTTTATTTTTGTGATGTATTGACATTAGGATCAAGTGTTGACGTTCGTTTAAAATTTTAGTCTTGTGATAAATTCATGGCATATTGTAGTCTATTGTGTCCAAAAACCACCCACTTAGACAAGAAAGGGACATCTGACTGATATTTCAGCAACCAAGCATGTCGGGACCTGGGACTAGTTAACTCTGTAAACTTACCCGCTGTATTCCACACAAAACAAAATCACCCTCTAATTCATCTGACACCTGATATCGTTTTGCACATTTGTCCTAGTTATATTGTTGCCAGAAAGTGTACACTGAGATAAGTGAGAGGTTTAAACACTTAGCAATCAGTGTGTGTGTGTGTGTGTGAGAGAGAGAGAGAGAGCTGATCAGAAATCTGTGTTTGCAGGTTCATAAGTTAAGCAAAGAAGAGAAATGCTGTGGTGAACACTCACAATCAGGTATAACATCAGACTGTCATTAACGGTTTGTTTGTTTGTTTGTTTGTTTACTGTCTGTGTTGCACACTGTAACCCATAATGGCTCTGTATAGATTTGGTTTTTGTAACATTCTGTGAAGCAAACAAAAGCGTGAATGAAAATGCACAGGTCGATGCTGCATCGAGAAGTAGAGGGGAAAATCGAGAGATAGATCATGCTGCAGAACAGACAGATGGCTGCAGTGCACCCTGGGACAGTTGAGTGTCAGACTGTTAAAATTAGCCATAATAATTTGCTTGCCAATATATGTGCGTGCGTGTGCATATGTGACATGACCCAGTAAGTAACAGTGTTTAGCGTTTCACATCAGTTGTGCTGCTTTCTAGGGCAAGAATCACTATTGCTATTCTTTATATGACATTAAAAATGGTCTAAAATTAAAAACAGAAAATGTGTTAAAGAGTGCTCTGAAATCAAAATTAAATGTGTATAATTAATATAAATCAAATTATAAATAAATAATTATTAAAAAGATTATAGTTTAGAATAAATTAGTTTATGTTGATTTGAATTGATATTTTAATTAAATATCCATCTTTCTATCTGTCTTTCAATAAAAACAGAATCTTAGTGCTACTAATTTATTAAAGAGTGCTCCTAATACAATTGGGTTCATTTAAATAATTTAATTAGTAATAAAATTTAAATGTATAAAATTAATATAACTAAATTTATAATTAAATAACTATATAAAACAACTACATAAAATAATGAAAAAATTAAATGATTGTATTAAATTAAATATTATATTTAATATTATAATATTTAATATATTCATATTATTTTAATATTTCACTTTTTAAATAAAATAATTTGTTCAACAGCATTTTTGTTTTTGCTACGTATTGAAATTAGCATTAAATATTGACTTAAATTAGTAGAAATATTGTATTTAATTACATGTAATCATTGAATTACTGTATTTACGTTATATTTAATATTTATTATATTCAGTGTATTCATATTTATATTATTTATTTATATTAGTCTTTAATTTTTAAATAGTTGAAAATTAAATACATCTAATCAAAATTAATTTAAATGTAAATAGTTTAAATAGTTTAATAAAATTGTAATGTATAACATGAATATAAATCAATTTATAAATAACAATAAGAGATTATAGTTAATTATAAATTAAATTGCATTTATTTTAACTAACAAATATGACCATCTAGTCTTATTATTGTGAAAAAGGAAAGTGTATGATTTTTGTCTTGCTCACTTTTGTCTGCTGCATGAAATCACTGCTGTGCTTTTGATGATCATAATGATGATGATGATGCAGGTGAAAATAGTGGAGCTGATTGGCTGTGTTCAGATAAGAGATGATGAATGCAGTTATGTCTGTGTGTGCGTGTGCGCACTCGTTGCACTCATTCCTGTTTTGTCCTTATCCAGAATGCAATTCCTTGCGTCACAAGGACCGGAGGAAAGAGTCTGTGGACACCAGATCCATCAGCTCTCACAGCAGTGATGGTAAGAGAAAGAGAGGATGTGTTTCATCACAACACACCAACAGAAACGAGCGAAAGACACTCGCTTTAACAGTCAAGTAATTATCCAGAGAAACAGAGCAGTAAAGAGATTTGTGTTCATGTGTGTACTTGAGTGCATGTTTATAATGTGTTTTATGTGAGTGTGTGTGTGTGTGTGTGTGTGTGTGTGTGTGTGTGTTTGTATTGTCATGAAGGGCCAATGGTTGGAGCATAATAGAGGCTTCCCATGCCCTATGATTCCCACCCAGAAGTGGGGCTTTTTGTGACGTGGCCAGCGTTGATGGCATCAGCACACCCACAGTCTCAGTGCACTCTGACGCAGATGGAGCTATTTAAAGAGCTCTCCTCTCTCTCTGTCTCTCTCTCTCTCAGCTCCCAGTCTACAGAACCGCAGATATTCCTCTATGGCCAGAATCCACTCCATGACTATTGAAGCTCCAATCACTAAGGTACACCTGCATTATTATACACACCTGAAGACAAAAAAAACATTAACCTGTATGAATAATTATAACCACCTGATTCAATACAGATCAATACAGAATCAGCTATCTAACTATCTATCCATCTATCCGTCTATCTGTCTACACTCTTAAAAATAAAGGTGCTTCAAAAGATTCTTCAAGCGATGCCATAGAATGTCTTTCTATCTGTTGTTGTTCTATCATCTATCTAGCTTCTATCACGTCTTATCTGTCTGTCTGTTGTCCTATCTCGTTCTGTCTGTCTGTCCGTCTATCCATCCTTCTATCTGTTTATCCATCCATCCATCGTTCTATCATTCTGTTGTTCTGTCTACCCATCCATCCATACATCCATCTATCATTCTATCAATCTATCGTGTATCGTTTTGTCTACCCATCCATCCATCTATCGCTCTTTCATTCTGTTCATCCATCATCATTCAATCATTGTCCACCCATCCGTCAATCCATCCATCTTTCTATCGTTCTGTCATCCCATCGTTATGTCTATCCATCCATCCATCCATCCATCCGTAGTTCTGTTGTTCTAAAAAAACTAACATTACATTAAGTTTGTACAGTCTTTGCTTCTCTATTGTATCTCTTCTCGTTGTTTGGATTTATTTTAATTTTAAATAAAAAATAAATAAATATAACATTTAAATTAAGTTCTATTTTAATTCCGTTTTTAAATCTTACATTCAATTTCTATTCAAATTCTAATGCAATTTTTAGATCCTGTCTGCTACCTCAATTCTAAATCTAGTTCAAATTCGAGAATCGAATTGGAATGTAAAAGGTCTTCTCAATTCCATTCTCAGTGGCACACAACCCTGAGACGTGCTGAACCACTTTGTCTCTGTGTATTTATGATTACTCCATCATAACTGATGATTTGTTTGTGAAAATGGAAGCAAAACAGACGCCAGAGGGGAAAATTCTTTACTACAGAGATATTTATGGATGTAAACCTTTGAGTAGTGGTTTGTTGTTTTCTCTCACCTTCTGTTCTTGTTCTGCATGTATTTTGTTGTCTTTATAGGTGATAAATATCATTAACGCAGCGCAGGAGAGCAGTCCTGTGACAGTAGCGGAAGCTCTGGATCGCGTTCTGGAGATTCTGAGGACCACCGAACTCTACTCACCCCAACTGGCCTCAAAAGAGGACGATCCCCACACCAATGACCTGGTGGGGGGGCTCATGAGTGTAAGTCAAGAATTCATCTTTTATTCTTAAAGGTGCTTATTTGATTTGATTTGATTTGATTATTATTTAATTAGATTTTATTCCTAACCATAATTTTATTAATTTTATTGTATTATTAACCCTATATTTTATTTGATTGCTAACCCTAACTCTATTAATTTTATTTTATTACTAAACCTTTATTTTATCATTTTTTATTATTTAATTTATTTCTAACCAAAATGTGATTAGTTTTATTTTATTATTAACCCTATATTTGATTTGATTGCTAACCCTAACTCTATTCATTTTATTTTTTTACTAACCCTTTGTTTTATTTAATATTATATTTTATTATTTTAATTTATTTTATTTTAACCATAATTTTATTAATTCGATTTTAGCATTAACCCTATATTTGATTTGATTTGCTTGCTAACCCTAACCCTATTAATTTTATTTTATTGCTAACCGTTTTTATTTTATTTTATTTTATTTTATTCATATTACTATATTACTGACCCTATATTTTATTTTATTTCATATTTTAATTTAATTAATTTTTTTATTGAATTAATTTTTTTAATTGCTAACCCTAATTCTTTTTTCCCTATTTATTTATTTGTTTTATTTCATTTTATACTTGTATTCAAAAGAGCAAGAAAATCCATCATATGACTCATGTTTGGAACTAAATTATACAAAAGCCTACAAGTCATCTTACACCCACATGATTCACAGAAATAGCCTTAAAATACTCTTCAAACACATGCAGTCAAAGACATCATAAACAGTACAGATCAATATTAAACAGCCGGGAAATTTCACAAACTGATATCCTGTACACAAACAAACGTAGACCAGATTTTTTCAGCAGAGAATCATCATTACGGGAGGAATTCAGACATGCTCTGCCAGGAAACTGGTCTTATATACAGCGTGTGACTGCATGTCAGTGGCAGTCAGTAGATGTGAATGCTCTTGTTTTCGTTGAGCTCCATGCTGCCTGGCACAGGCTGTTTCACAGTTAGCCAGCAGTCTGTGACGACAGTGCCGCACTTGTTTACACAGCAGTCTCGATGTCTGCCATCTCCACGTCTCCCCCTTTAAAAGCAGTCCACTTTTAAACCAGATTTACAATGTTTTAGACAAAAAAATAGTTGCTAGACTAAAAGAGGGTTCAGATGGTCAGAGATTTGCAGGGACACACAGAACAGAAGTCGTTCATTTGAGAGTCACAGAGACTTTTGGTGATGCAACGAAGCAGTTTGCCAATGCAGTGGTTGCTGAACAGTGAAGCTCAAATGATCTGCTTCCTGATATAGCTGGATACAAATACCAAGAAGTTTTAACAGGGTTTACTTCTTGGCTGCAGACATGACTTTGGAGATTGTTAGTTGGCAGGGTTCCCACTGTGCTGGAAAACTTGGGAATATCAGGGATTCTCAAACGTTTTAGGCCAGGAAAAGTCACAGAAATGAATAAAATGTTGACATCTACAGGTAGTTATTCTCAGAAATTATGTGAAGTAGAGACCTGATCACAAACACCTGGTAAAGTCATGGAAGAATTTTGAAAATTCATTGGTCAAAAGTATGGGAACTTGAACATTTTAAACAGCATTTTGCTAATTCTTTTATGATTAATATATTGGCATGTTTTATGAAATATTAATTGAGAGGTGATATTGAATATTGGTACTTTTAATTTTTTAGCTACATTTTAAAAAGTGTGATAGATAAATGTTTATATATATATATATATATATATTAAGGTTTTATTTATTTGTTTTTACTTTTGCTTTTACTTTGGCTATTTCTGTAAACACAATAATGTTTCTTGTTTAGACACTGAGGGATGATATTTAATATTAAATATGCTGTCATAATCTAAAACATTTGACTCAACAAAATGCTGTTACTTAGAGCTTAAATTGTATTTAACCTGGAATAGTTATTTGATGCATTAAATCTTGAATATCAATTATATACTACTGTTCTAAAGTTTAGGGTTTAGGCAAGTTTTTGTGTAAATAATGTAATTTTTTTTTTGGCCAGAAAGGATGCATTTAAATTGGTCAAACATGAAAGTAAAGACATTTACAACAAATTATTTCTGTTTTAATTAAATGCTGTTCTTTTCGACTTTTGATTCACCAAAGAATCATAAAAAATGTATTAGAGTTTCCACAAAAATATGAAGCAGCACAACTGTTTTCAGCATTGATAATAATAACAAATGTTTCATGAGCAGCAAATCAGCAGATTCAAATTATTTCTGAAAGATCATGTGACACTGAAGACTGAAGTAATTCATTTTTTTACTATATTTTTGATCAAACAACCCCAAACTTCAAACGGGTGGTGTAGTTCTGATTCATTAAAATGCAAAATAACTACAAAGCCAGATTCAGGGCGCTTCCTTTCATAATGTCATTTTTCTCTGTTACGTAAAGGTCAAGCGGATGCGTTGCACAAATCTCAAGAGTTCAAATGACCTTTTTGGTGGGTGACTTTTTGAGGGAGAAGTCAGAGGTCAAACACACAGTGAAATAGCCGAGTTGAGAGAGTGCAGCTGTGGCCTGTGATCATTACAGACGGGATGTGTGCGTGTCATATTTATACATGTACAGTTCTATTATCCTACGCCTGCAACATCTCAGACTGAGTTTGTTTTAAGTACTGGATGAGTCTCTTTGAATCTGGATCTGTTTTCTGTGTGTTTAATATCCTCCAGGCCTGATAAATGGCTTTTCTCATACGAGCATGCAAGCGTGAGTGAGTTATGGGTAGCGTGGTAGTGCTGTGCTTAAATGTGTTGTTATGATTATGTTGGCTGGAAATTATATTTTGGCTTCCTCAAGCCTTTTTCTCTTTCATTTCAGTCAGATATATTGATGTATATTTTTCTTCATTTCAGGACGGACTCAGAAGGCTCTCTGGGAATGAGTATGTCTTCTCCAAAAGTGCATTACACAGTAAGTTCCATCCCTGAAAATGATTATTGATATAATACAGATTAGATTAAATGTTGGATGTTGTAAACCAACTTTGAATAAATTATTTCAGCCTATTTACCATCTTGGGTTATACCTATTAAGTACAGGGTTCCCACGCTTCTTGAAAGTACTTGAATTTCAGACATATGGATTCAAGGCCTGGAAAGTACTTGAAAACAAACATAGGTCCTTGAAAGTGCTTGTTTTCCATCGCTACGACGGATTTCCATCAATTGGAAAAAAATTAGGGGAAAAGAAACATGTAGCGCATTGTT